GGCTGGGGAATTCTGGGAGTTGAAGTCCACACATCTTAAACATGCTGAGGTTGGGGAACACTGGTTTACATGATTGTAGCTGGAAGGGATGTGGGAGGCGACGCTGAGTAGCCTGTTAGTCTTTTGGAACAAAAATCTGCGAACTCAGATGTGTAGCAGATGGTCATGTCACCTCTTAGCCCTTAGCAAATGATTCCTAGCCATAATTAAGCCTGGCGAGGAAGGGCTGGTGGCCAGTGCACACCCGCGCCGCAATTGATAGTTTCCTGGCATGCTTTTCTGGGCAGGGGTGGAGTGGAGCACAAGTGAGAGATGGTGCATTCGTCCCTCATTATTTTGTAAAAGTGCACTTTGTGGGGGGAAAGTCACTGTGCCCATTTTAACCAGGGCTTGTTGATACAATACAGTGCAACAATAAAATAAAACCACACTGTGTTTTAATGTGTTATATGAATTATGGAAACGTTAGTATAATGAACCATGAGCTTGGCTTATAACATATTACCGTAAAGTGTTATATACCAGTCTTACTGTATGTGTTATAATGTGTGTTTTAGTCAGTGACATATATATAGTTTCTCTGATATCATAACTAACAGGGCTTAAGATACAGAAGGTTAGGAACTACTGTTATAAGCATAGGAAGGTGGTTTATAAACTAGTATGAAATATGTCTGCTGAACTGCAAATAGGGACTAGTTTTTATTAACAATATTGTTCTTATTTGCTTCACCTGCTACATACGTTTTTTCTAACCCAACTGAAAATACTAATCTTCCCTTTTAAAACTCTTCAGGGCCTGAATTCAAGGCTATCTGAAGGATTAATTTTAGAACAAGCCTGCCAATATTTAGAGTTTTTCTCCAAATAGCCTCCCCATGTGAGGTAGCTACCACAAAGAGGTCCTTTTCTGTGGTGGATCCCTGATGTTGGAATGATCTCTTTGGCACCAAATTAGGGAAGACACTAAATGGAATACTTGATTATGTGTTTCCAACTATCGAGGAGATCCAAGTGTCTCTTCATTGCTTATTTTTGAATGTGAGGTGGATCTTTTTTCTGTCTAATAATAGTATTCATTCTTTTTTAAAGTTAAGCAGTTGTACCTGTTCCAGCTTAAATTCATTTGTGTGCAGTATGCTAATCTTTTGGCTGGATTGAAATTTTGGCACTGACATACCAAGTTAAATTTTGAAAGCAGAATCAGCACGTGAAATACATACTGCAGAAGGTCCCTTTTATTACCCAATTGAGTTGTTCCTTGATGCTTTAGTTCCATATTTTTTAGATGGCTCCACAATGATTGATATTCTGCTCTCTCCATGGGGTTTTTATATTTAAATTTTTTTTAAATTTTTGATAATGTTTTCATTTCAATAATCACTTTTTATCTTTTTATAATGTTATTTTAAAATTAAAATGTTATTTGTTATTTGTTATTTTATTTAACTGCTGTACACTGCCCAGAGTTGCTTTGTGTGAGATGGGCAGCTATATATATGTGACAAATAAATATTTCATTGATGTCTTTAATTTTTTTCTCCAGAGATCGAAAATTATATAAACTAGGCTTAAAAGGATTTTATGTTAAAGATACAGATAACAGTATAGGTGAGTTAAGCCTGAAAAGTTTATTGCTAATTTTGTGCTTTGTAAAATATAGTTTTTGCAACTATATCACCTTGTTAGCATTGTGCATATGATGCCTGCTTTCACATAGCTATTCTGAAAAAAACGCGTAAAGGTATAAAGGTTGTAACAAAGTGAAGAAAATAATTATATATTGAAGTTATACAGAATGTATTTCCTTGGTATTTTTTTCCAGACTGGTATGGGAATTAATATCTTCAGGTACGTTTAATGGACTAGTACATTTAAAGCTTTTATTGTTAGCCATTGCTATAGCTGGACTGGAAATGTTTGGTCAACCACTAGATTGCAGCAAGAAGTTGGGTTTTCTCTTTTTACTGGCAGATATTTTCCTATTTATTTTATGAATTCTATGTGAAATTAAATTGCACTGAGTTCCATTAGATTTTTATCTGATCCATAATTCATACCAGGACACCAAAGAATGGGAATGCTTCCTGTGAAGAATTCTTCATGAAGGAAAATGATTTAAAATCTGTAAAAGATTTTGTCTTACATCTATATCCTTTTAGGCTGAATGTCAGAGTACTATCATGCAAATTCTACCATAATCAATGTTAAGTTGTACCAAAAACTCTCCCACAGCTTATTGATACTAAAAAAAATTCTACTGAATATTTTTCTAAGTAGAAGAACTACCTAAGGATATGTGTTGTTTGATAAGGATGAAAGGTTTGACATAAGTGTTATTATTTATACACACACACAAACACACATGTAGTCCTTGCTTAACGACGGTAATTGGGACTGGAATTTCTGTTGTAAAGCAATGTGGTTCTAAAGTGCAATGTTACATGACTGCACCGCTTAGCAATGACAGTTCCAGCAGTCCCTAGTTACTGTCATTAAGCAAATCTCCATGGGTCGTTAAGCAAGAAACTCATGTGACTGTGACTTCTGACTTCCTGCTGGCTGTCCCATTGACTTTGCTTGTGGGAAGGAAAATCACAGATCACAATCATGTGACCATGGGATGCTGCGACAGTCAAAAATCCAGGCTGCTTTCTAAGCACCCAGATCATGATCACGTGACTGTGGGAACACTGCGATGGCTGAAACTTTGATGGCCAGTCATAAGTACTACTCATTCAGCACTGTTGTAAGTTTGAACAGTTGCTGAACAAGTGGTCATTAACTGAGAACCACCTGTATTTTTTAAAAAGATAGATGGCAGTAAAGTCATGAGCTTCTAGGAAAGGATTGGTTAAGGGAAATCTCAAAAACATGTGATAGAGGGGTTAGGAAATGCTGCAGGTGGGAGGAAGAAACATAGACACTAGAGAAAGTAGAGCCAGGAAGAAAAGAAAGAGAAAAAGTCAGAAGCTCTATGTGGGTGTGAAGGAGGGACAGAGAGACACCAAAACCCCAAAACTATACATAGGCCCAAAGCAAAGCCAGTTTTCTTCATCAGAAATCCAAAATTGATGGCTGTTTCCTTATCAACTTCTATTGTTATTAACAGGGGAAGGGGAAGTTACTGAAGATAATGAAAAAGAGGAGAAACAACATACCTTTGAGACTGCTGAAGAACTTAACAGTCTTGCTTTGGGAGTAGATGATGCTGAACCAGATTCAGAGACCGAACTCATGAAGAGTATGGGCTTACCTGTACAGTTTGGCAGTTTGTCAGCCAATAAAGCACTAGTGGTAAAACCCAGTTCAATTTTGATTTTTTAATTCTGTTTACATTATTGAACTAGAAAATAGATTAAGAAATATGCAGTGGAATTTCATTGCACATAAAGAGAATAATGATTTTTAATGCTTTTTACTTCCATGTTGGCATTTCAGGTCTACTGGACGACTGTAGGTGACATTTTGTTTGACTGATGGGGAATTCTATCTAAAGGGTTTCAAGTAATAGTAAAGTACTGGCAATAACTGAGGCAATAAATACACTGAAAATCCAGAAACTCATTATTTTAAAATACAGGTCATTTCTGCCTAAATTATATGGCTTCAGTGCATGAATCTTTGAAGAGATTA